TTGAAGTAGCTCTAGGGCCACAGGGACGAGAGGAAGGTGATGTCGGAACTTGACTGTACCTTGGTTGAGAATTCTATAATCGATGCATGGCCGCAGCCCTCCATTCTTCTTTGCCACGAAGAAGAAGCTGGATGCTGCAGGTGAAGTGGAAGGACGGATATACCCCTAACTCAGAGCCTCCTGAATGTACTCCTCCATGGTCTTAGTCTCCAGAAGCGACAACGGGTAGATTCTACCTCTGGGCATTGGAGCATCTGGAATCAGGTCTATGGCACAGTCCCATGGCCGATGTGGAGGTAGTAGGAAGCTCTCTTGGGGCAAAACACGTCCTTGTAAGAAGTGTAGATTTCAGGAATCTAGACTGCTCGTTTCTCGATGGGGTTTTGACGTAGACAGATTTTTATGAATCTTGTAATGGAATATTGGGGAAACAGCCTGGTGTACATCCTTCACCCCATTTCTTTATCTCTTCTGTGCCCCAAGAGAGGATGGGATTATGTTTCACCAGCCACGGGCGCCCTAGGATGATATCCATGGTGGCGCCCTCCAGAACCAGGAATTGTATCTCCTCTGTATGTAACAGTCTGATTTGGAGACTGACGTATTCACATATACGATTAATACGTGCCTGTGATTTGATATTGCTGGTTATGGGTTGAATCTGGTAAATGTGCGTCAAGGCTTCGGTGCGGACCTGGTGACAGAGGGCATGCGAGATAAAATTCCCAGCTGACCCAGAGTCGATAAGGGTGGTGGTTGAAACAGACAAAGAGTGGGTAGTTAACTGAACATTGGTAGTGAGAGGATGCATCTTCTCAATATCAGAACTGAACACACTCACCGAGGAGCGTATGGGACAGAGCGGACAGTCCAGCCTGACATGTCCTCCGTCACCACAGTACATACACAGACCCCGGGTCAGCCTCCTCTGTCGCTCAGCGGCCGTGTGTCTACCAGCCTCAATGATCATGGGTTCTGGTTCTGAAGGGATTACTGGCTCAGATGGACACAGGAGTACTTGAGGACACCGGAGTGCTTGAGGGACTGGATCTGGGTCATACTACCAGTATGACCCAGATCCAGTACCTCAAGCACTCCGGTTATACTGTTATACAATCAGAACATCGAAGAGAAAGTTGGATAAATTTTTCCAAACCCATAGTATCATCTAGTGCTGCTAGCTGTAGACAAAGTTTGGGTTCCAATCCGAGCCGGTAAGTAGTGAGGAGAGATCGTTCATTCCATCCGCTGGCAGCAGCCAGAGTACAGAACCAAAGGGCATAGTACTGTGTGGACATTATTCCTTGTTTGAGATGGTATAGTTGTTCTTCAGCTGCTACCTCTCCATCAGAGAGACCAAAAACCTCCTTGAAATATTCAGTGAAAACTTGAATGGAGTTAGTTACCCGCCCAGCTTGTTGCCAGATGGTCTCAGCCCACCGGAGAGCAGATCCAGAGAGAAGCGATATGATGAAAGCAATCTTAGATCGATCTGTAGGGTATAACGCAGGTTGCATGGTGAATACGAGAGAACATTGTAATAGAAATCCGTTGCACTCCTCCGCCCCGCCAGAGAAGGGCGCTGGTCGAGCCATGGGACTGGATGAATTGGTGGACGACGAAGAAGTGCTCATTGCTGGTGGTGCATCGGGAAGTGGTGCAGATGGTAGTAAAACTCTCTTCAATGAGTCCACCAACTCTTGCATTGGATCAGGAGTGCTCATGCCGTTAACTGTATTTGGTCCGGGCTTCTGTTATGGAAGCAGATGGACAAACAGGGTGAGTAGTAGTATTAAATGTTTATTATTATTAGCAACAGAAGGATAACAAGGGTTATGTGAATGAAGTCCGAGATGATATTATTGTCCCTATCCTTAGCAGGATGGATGATAGGCAATGAGAAAGACCGAATGCACACACCAGATGACTTGCAGGGAAGACAGAAAGACAATGCACACACCTCTGACTGGATACGGGGAAGACTGGACAGACTGAAAACAAACAGAGATTAGGTAAGTATCAGAATGGCAAATAAATGATAGTGAATACGTGGAGAGTATCCGCTGAGTCCGCTTCGTAGGAATGAGCCCGTACAAAGAGTGGTGTGAGGTGTGTGCTTTTATTGTGTGCCAAGGTGATAGGGTGCAGCTGTGCATGATTAAAACTCAGGTGATGAACGGCGCTGTGTGAAATTAGTGGAAGAGCCTGGCCAATCCGTGACAGTTACATACAAAGTCAATAGAGGCAAATTTCCACAGGGGATGCAAAATGACATGGAATAAGCAATGTGTGTTGTTGCAAACTGGGGAATCTGTCTCAGTTGTGTTTTTCATGCGAGTTCAAAACAATTAAATCCAAGCAAAAAAAATTGTGTCCCTATGATGTTGGAGATGCAAGCTGCAGAGCTCTTATAGGTGCTGCAAATCATCCTTGAAAAGGTCTAAATTAAGCTAGCGTTTTTCAAGGTTAAAAAACGTGTAGATTTTGGACAAAGGGCTTGAAACCACTTCAAAATATAATTGTACATTTAATTTTATATATGGAAAAGGTCACTTTTTAACTCGGGTAATTTTTGTTTCAGTACTTGGAAAGTCAATGGCTTGGGGCACCCAATTAAAAGAAGGAAAGTGGTGTCTTTGCTCAGACTATATTCCTCTCTCCAGATACACTTTTGATATCTGAATACTGTTAACTGATGTTGTTTATATGATGTTTATATTTTAGTGCTTTTATATGATGAATTTGTTACGCTTGACATGAGGTCATTGTATATTGTATAGGGTGACGTAAAAATAAAAATAAAACAATGCACACACTTAAGCCAGGTTTACAAAATAGGGTGCACATTTGGCTATTAAAAACACTGCTGTGCCAGTTTAGCATTTGTATCTGGAGTTAAGACTAGCTTTACTTTAGTAATTTTGATAGTTTCTCTTTATTATTATCTTATTTAATCACCCAATGTTTATCTATTCAACACCTTATTTATTTTTTTTAGTTTTGAACAATTCCTTCACCTTTGGCACATATTTTTCCTGCACCCTATGGCTTGATTTTGATGGGTTTTTTTTTGTAATTATTAAAAAATAATATTTTAATGTTTATCAATTTTGTTCTTTCGGTAGGACTGGCAGGGAGACTTTATAAATGGCCGTGTCTGGTTTCCTCTCTTAACTGCCTGTTTATGCTGTCTACATATTTTACAGAACATTTACGTAATTTACGTTGACTTTTATTTGTCAGAGAGCATGAGACAGAGCTGAAAAGCATGTACAGGGTTCAAAACTAACTCTTTTAATTGATAGCTCTTCAAAAATTTAGGAGCACCAACCAAATATAAATGAGCACCACTGCAAATTGTGTTATAACAGATTTATTGTATTTAAAAACATCAATTAGGACTAACAAAAACCAGAAACAACTATAACTAATTCTGTGATGACTTAATATTTGTGCAATAATTCCAAAATGTCTAATAATTATAAAATATTAATGATGACGAAGATGACAATAATAGTAACAATGAATTACATTTCTCATGATCACGCTGCCTTGAATGTGAGTTATCTGCTATATAAGGTCCTACTGTTATATTATGAAAAATAAATTTTAGGTTTGCATTAAACAAAAATAAAGCATTGCAGTAAGAAATGTTAATTTTGCACTATTGTTTTTATACGCATGTCAATGTGATCAACAAATATTATTTCTGCTTCAAAATAAACAAAAGATTATAGTAAATCATTTAATTTAGAGCTAAAAGCTGCAAAGCAGTCATCAGTAACTCAATAGAAAAATAATACTTATGTCAAGAAAGAATGGACAGAACAAAGGAAGTCTTACTTCTATTACTCTTTAAAAGTTTTGGTTTGAGTTTGTGTCATTTTAAATGCTCAGTCTCGTTATGCTCTTATTTACATTTTTCTGTGTTTGTGGAAAAGCAGGCGAGTCAGCCGACCCAATATATAAGCAGGCAGATCAGGATTCTCGGGATGACCACCTGCGCAATACCGTTCTTTTTCATGAGCCGCAGTTTGAGTTTAAACTTCAAGGCAAGCGTCTTTGGCGATAATATATGTTCAATTTTACATTTAGGGGCCATTTGCGCTAGACGCGCATGTAATGCAACACACCGAGATTTAGGCCATTAAACAGCTATTCCACTCCGAGTCTTTCCGCACTCTCTCCGAAAACACTCGATTGATCTCGGCTGGCGTATCAACATTCACCACATGATCGCTCTCATCAGCGCCATTATTTGTAACTTAGGGTGGGTTTGCAAACGTGTTCTTTTCATTGTCTTCCTCAAACTTCAGCCGCTTACATTACCTGTTGTCATAAAAGCTCTGTTATCTGACAGCGTAAAGCCTTGAGTGATTGACAGAACCAATATAGCGGCAGGGAAGAACAATATGCAGTCGCACAAATGCTCCCAAATATATTATGAGGTCACATAGATTAAATTTCACCCTGGATGCCGTTGTGTAAAAACGCTAACTAGCTTATTAAGTTGTGATTTAACTCATAATAAAACAGAAATTTAACTTGACTTCAAGGGGGGCAGGGAAAGTCATTGCGAGGGCAGAGTGCCCCCCTAATATAATGGTAGGGGAAACACTGTATTAGTTGAATATTAAAAAGATTCATAAATTTAGATTCGACTATTTAATCCTGAGTCAGTGTCACTCCTATAAGAGACTGTAAAGAATATTGGCATTACAGTTCGCCAAATCGCCTGTCAGTCAAACTGTCAGCTCAATGTCAATTACAGTTACTGACATATAAAATGAGAGTTTTGTGCTTTTTTGGTGTAAACACATTTTAATAATCTAAAATCAAAGCTGCAGACCATTCAAAAATACTTCATATTGAATATGAAAACTTTCCAAGTCTTGTTTCCAAAAGGTTTATACATACAAGTCCTGTTCTTTAAACGGTTCCTGTAAAACTAACTAAAATAAAGTTTCCTTTAAAGAGCAATGTAAACATAAAACACTCACCCTTGCCATCTCTTTTGTCCATTCTGTCCTTGATGATGGATGCTGACAGAGTCTTTTTTCTGTGTTCATGTCCAACATCTAAACCTCCTCGTGTTGTGTGTTCTACTGTTCATTGTCATACGTACACATTTATTTAGGGTTGAAAATGCATATGCTGTTTCTTCAAAAAAGAGGAAAATGTAAAGTTATAAAACATACAAAGTATAGAAATAGCTGCTTATGAAGTACTGTAAAACATGAATGTGTCTTTATCTGAATTCAGTCTGTTTTTTGTCCAGTTACTGTCATCTAGTGGAGTAGATCACAATAGCAGAAGATAAAACCCTTTAGAGTAACCAGACTGACATTATGATGTTGTCACCACGCCCTACCCACTGCAAAAATGCAACACTGAGTGAATGCCTGCTCTTTACTGAGCACATTCATAAACAGAGCGAGATAGATTGTTGAAGTAGAAACATGCATTCAACCAAATAAATGTTCTGCTTGCAGGAGTGTGGCAAACCTTATATAGGCCTATTCTAATGTTTCTAATATTATCAATGTTCTAAAATATTTGATAAACAAATCTGATGAAGAGCACATGTTAACACAGTGTCGCAAAGCCCAGATGTCATTGTCCATAGTGATGTTTCAGATTTGGCATTGTACAATCTTACGATACTGTAAAGCTGCTCAAGCCTAGTTCACACTGCAGGATTTTAAGCTTGAGTTGAGCCTGATTTGAAAGTTAATGAGCTCACCGACGGATCGGGCTGTGATCGGGAAAAAATCTGCAGGTGCTCGCAGTGCGGCAGTCTTTGTGTGAACTACTGAAGCCCAGCCCAAAAAGTACGTCGGCCCAGTGGAAAAGTGCCCGGTCTGCTAGATGGCCAGTTCACCCCTGCATACATGTAATGCATGTTCATGTAATATTAGCACAGATGAAATATAGCGTTTACTGTCTTAAGAGTGAATTGACCTCTCAAATCTCATTAAGTTAACTAATGTTGTCGATGCCTTGTTAACTTACACAGCGGATAATAAACGTTCCTCAGCAAACAAACCTTATAATAAACGACAAAACGTATTTCAAATATTATTTAATGATGTATTATTATAATTCGTCTGACTTGAAACCATGCTCTTGTCTTCGGCTCGTCATTAATGTAAAAATAGTTTGAGCGTTGCTGGCAAAATTCAAAAACGTCTTTCGACAAATGAGATGTCAATCAGCATCAGGAACTGCAAGCAGCAAATAAAATTTTCGGGTGGCCAATTCGATGTCAGGGGTGTCCAGTGCCACCCCAGATACCCCTCTTGAAAATCGTTTATGAAGAGTCATGTAGTGTGAACACCACAGTAATTAAAAGACACAAAATGAAGTCATTTAGTGCAGATGACACAGTGATCTGCCGATGTTTAAAGTCATGTAATGTAAATAGGCTTTAGGAGTAACCTGTATTCTATAAGGTACTGTAAACTGAACTAGCAGCAGTTCTCCTTACAACAAACACCATGTGACCTTCCTTGTCCTGTTTAATCAAATGAACAGGTTTTATACCTTCAGGTGTTTTTGGTTTAACTTCTAAAATAAACTGTTTTGTATTATTAAAAAAGAAGCAAACTAAATAAAAGAATATAATATTAATATGGTTTGATTTTGTGTTGTTATCTGTACATTATCCCATAAAGATAATCTCTCACTATACAGTATCAACAACCCAAAACAGTGTTTTGATTAAACTATGAGCAACATACTGAAGGTAGTACAGCTCTGATAACGTTTCTTATCGTTTATACTTGTACCAAAAGCTTTATGGTTCACAACACTTTTGCAGACACTGGATTTGTTCTTTGAGAATGAAAAAGATGAAAGTAAAAGCTACTGCTCAAACACTAAAAACTGAAAAGAATCCCATTTACTATTCAAATGCTTGTTATATATTACACCTGTATTTATCTATATATTAAAAACATCAATAGAGAAGGGTAAAATGTAATACCTGAGCGTTCATGTGTTGTTTGCATCTCTTCAGGAACAAGGAAACTGTTTCTCTGTATGTACAGAAGTGTGGAGTAAATTTACTCAAGAGAGGGTGGAGTGAATGAAAATTACACCTACAGATCCGGGATTTTGATCAAAACAGCACATTTAACACCGGTTTTCATCAGTTTAAATTGGTTTCTAATACTTACTCGCATCATATTCAGGGCACTGATGTTTGCCTACAAAACAATCACTGGCTCTGCACCCATTGTGATATGATTTTTGATTGTGGGTTATTAAAATGTCTCCACATTCTGCTTTTGAAAATATATTGTAGTATCATGCTACAGCACTCTGGCACCTCTGTCTCAATACTGTACATACAGTTGAAGTCAGAGTTATCCGCCCCTTTTGATTTTTTTTTTCTTTTTTAAACATTTCCCAAATGATGTTGAACAGATTCAGGAAATTTTCACAGCATGTCTGATAATATTTTTTCTTCTGGAGAAAGTCTTATTTGTTTTATTTCGGCTAGAATAAAAGCAGTTTTTAATTTTTTAAAAACCATTTTTGGGACAAAATTATTAGCCCCTTTAAGCTTAACTTTTTTTTTGATAGTCTACAGAACAAACCATCGTTATACAATAACTTGCCTAATTACCCTAACCTGCCTAGTTCACCTAGTGAAGCCTTAAAATGTCACTGTAAGCTGTATAGAAGTGTCTTGAAGAATATCTAGTCTAATATTATTTACTGTCATCATGACAAAGAGAAAATAAATCAGTTATTAGGAATGAGTTATTAAAACTATTATGTTCAGAAATGTGCTGAAAAAATCTTCCCTCCATTAAACAGAAATTGGGGGAAAAATAAACAGGGGCGCTAATAATTCTGACTTTAACTGTACATTCACATCAGAACATAATATAGTGGTTGAGCAGAGTTACTCACAGGACAGTGCAAGACAAAAGAGGGTTAGTTTCATGTGCTTTAAAGGCTTGCTGGTGAAAGATTTCATCTGCATGCTGTTACTTTTTCCACGTACCTTTTTATTTTACATACCCTTAGTTTTAACATGCTGATTATCCAGAATGTTGTGAGGCAGTCTGAAGGAACAAATAAAGACAGAATGTGAGAAGTTTAAAAGATTTACCAGTTTTAATGTAAATGTTTGTATAGAAAATGTTCTATATTTGTAAACATATATATTATCTCTATACTTAACCCTATGCCTACATAATATAAACACACATTGTCTATTTAAAACTGAATATAAAATAAAAAGTTTCCTGTGTATACAGGTTAGGGGTTTAAAAAAAAAAAAAAGATATCAGATGTCATAAACTAACCTAAATGGACTTTCACTTCACGGACGTTCACAAATATTGCTTACACATTTTGTGGAAAATTGTTCACTCTCTCCCACACACACATATCTCTAATATAATGATTATACTTATGAGACTTAATTTGACTATGTCTGATGCATTTCAAGACTTCACTGTGACAGAATAAAACATTAAAAATAAAAGGTTGTCCAGAACTAGACAAAATGCAGTTTGTTAAAAATAGGTTATATTATAACTTCACAATTCTATAATGAAAAGTAACTTACTTCTCAGAATGTGTATGCTCGGTCGGATGAAAATACTCTGGTTTGTAGTCAAAGCTGCCATCTTGATCAGAGTAAAATGTGAAATCTTCATACCTTGCAGTTCAAAATCCTCTGAAGAGCGTATTCACTGCAGTAAAACTCAATGAACATGCTTTGGCTTTCAGCAGTGGCATTTACATGACACTGAACTAAACTAAACTTCAACTCTAAAAACTGAACTGAAGCAGTTTCAACTTACTAGTACTTCATCTATGATAAGCTGCTTTGACACAAAAGCACAATAGAAATAAGGATGAACTGAACTGAATCGATGTGTTTGGTTGGTCCACATGTGGCTCCCTGCTTTTTTATGATATGTTCTATGCTACATTAACTAATATTGGTTTTATGAGCGGATTACATAATTTAAAAACAGATATTCTTACTTTTCGGTAGACTTCTGTTTTGTGTCAGTATTCACTGAGTTACAATTAATTTTCTGACATGTTACAGACTGGATAAAGGACATTTTATTTTTATTGTGGGTCCACACAAGATTAATTATGCTTTTAATTTAAAAAACTGTTTTCTAAGAATAATCTTATTAATCTTAAGAGTTTATTTTGAGCTGACTTTTAAATGAATAAGCTGGTGATAAAGTAACCCTACGGGGGTTTATAAAACAGATTTATTTTCAGAATTTTTATTAAAACAGAAAAATATATTTGTTCATTCAATTGTAACCCAGGCTCATTTTGAAAGATTGAGATCTGTTCTATGAGCGTGTAAACACGAAAAAAAAAAACGCATGCATTCGGATATTCAGAGATGGGTTTCAGGCCTCCTTCATATGTGGAAATAAATCAGATACAGATCGGATATGTGACGATGCGACTGTCATGTAAACAGGCAGATCGGATTTATTGATGCGTTCCATTCTGTACATCATTAAACTTGCGACAATGTGCTGCTTCTCCGCGGTTTAATGACATAGAAGGAAGAGCGTGTGTGGAGATGCCGACGCCGTAAACAACAACAACAGAGGAAACACAGATGAAAGTGGTCAATCGCCACAATTTGCTCCCACCAGACCTGAGATCTCTCTTGTGCGATAATGGCCCTTTCCCACCACCTCCTCAAAAGCATTTTAAAGTTGGGCGAACTTCGTGTTGTAACTTTAGCTTTTTGTGGCTATTAATACACACAGGCTTCACATAGAATAACTTTATTCCCTCCAACACCAGTACGCACACAGGCAAAGGCTACATCTGCATCTACACACACCACACACACACACACACACACACACTCCAGGGCCATACCATTACATAAACTGCTTGGGGGTAAATCTGGACTGAACCATTCACTGCTTTTACTACACTTTGCATATTTCGCAAAGCTAAAAACAAGACAATTTCTTCCATCGTGGCTAGCCCCAGATAGCAGGTAATAATCGGCCCGAGCTCGGCTGAAAAAAACCTCTCAAAGAAACACAGGGCTGGAGAAAAAGGAGGACATATTCACATACAACAACAGTCGACAAAGAACTGGAACTTAGGGGCTTAAATACACAGGGCAAACAAAGAAACAAGAGTGGAGACAACTATTAAGTAGAGAAACATAGAGGAGCACAGGGAAACCAGCAGGAGAACATCTGGGACAGGAACAGTCACATGCCTGAAAATATAACCACACATTGGTAAGTCTTTCTTATTCAACACACCCAATTTCGATCATAAGCTGGCTTGATCCATAAATTTGAACTGTATATGTCAGATAAGAGTGAAAACGCTATATAAATAAAAATACTGTGCAACACAAAATTGGCAAGAAAACATTTTGTAACTGAGAATTATTCAAATTTTCCTTTTTTTAAATTTAATTCATAATATTATATAATATATATCATAATATTGACTTATTCTTAATATATAGAACAAAGCATCAAAGAATGCTACAATTTTAACTACATGAGAAAATAAAAATAAAAAATCGCAATGAATGAATCTACTGAAGACAAATTTAAGAACCCAAGAACAGTTTTAATGTAGTAGTAATCATATAACATAAACATAACACATGGTATGGCGTAGCATAACAAAACAAAAATCAAATTCAACATTAACAGGATTACACAAACTTTAAAGGGAACATCAGGGTTATATCTATCAAACACTAGGAATCACGTAACATGAAACAACCAATGGGAGTTAGATACATGAAACAAGACAGGAAACAGGAAACTACAAAAATAAGAGACCTGACAGCTAGTGGTGGGCAAAGCATGGCTTTGTGAAACACTGAAATAGTCAAAGCAAATGTGTGGAAGCTTTGAAAAGTTTCAAAACCCATCTCTACAGCGAGCTTAGTAGTGATTTTGAGGTATTGCTTTGAAACAATTTCAAAGAAACAGTTATGTGAATTGAGAAGTTATGCCTCACACTTTATGGCTGAACTATTAGGTATTTTAGTGGAGTGGGTAGTGTTCCTGACGGACATGCAGACATGTTGGGTTTGAATCCAGGTGAACCAACTAATCATTTAAAGTTTGGGTGTTTATTGCTTTTTTCTTGTAATTTAATTTGTTTAATATTGTTCTGACTTTCGAATGAACTCTTTGTGAATAAATATGCTGTTTTTTCTTGAGAAAATAGACATTAAAGACATCAAATCACAATTTTTGTACAAGCTGGGACTCAAACTTGGGATGTTTACAATGCAGTTGCACTGTGCCTTTAAAGACCACTAGGCTATATGCGATAGTAGTATTGTTTCTGACCCTGTCTATCACAAGCAGATTAGTCAGGAATGCCAGGTCTCAAAACACTTGTGAAATGACCAATCCTTTCAATTGCTTTAGTCATGTGACCTGGGTATTTCGAAATGCTCCAGAGCAGTGTTTTAAAGGGCACCTATGGTAAAAAATCTACTTTTCAAGCTGTTTGGACAGATCTGTGTGTTGGTATAGTGTATAGACCGTCATACTGGGGTGATATGAACACACCCAGTCCTTTTTTTTAAATTTAACTACAAAAAAAGGGTCGGCCAATTGGAGCTGTTTTCAAATCGATCGCACCATTACGTAGGTGTGCGATCCCCCCGCCCACCGAATTGATTGACAGCTGCGCGCATTAACATGTTCCGGTAGTCGCATGTATATGTCAACAAGACCAGACAGACATACGCAAAGCAACCGGGAATAAAAGCTCTGTTCTGTTCGCTAGGATCAGCAATCATCATCAAATGTGATTAAGAGTAAGTTTCACATGTTTAAAGTGTTTTAAAACAGAGTATGTGTGTAATTAATTACAGCGTTTTACTTCAGCTTTACTTCATCAGCACAGCCGCGTGTCAGAACAATTATAAAAGAAGACGCTTCAATCCCAGTTTGTGGAAGTTAAATCAGGTTTATTTTGTACATTAGCATAACAGATATCCACACAGCAGTGGAGGTTAGCCTTAACTAAGCTAAGCGCGCTCTGTCTGTCTGCCTGCCTGCCTGCTTGTGTGTGTGTGTGTGTGTGTGCGCAGGCGCGCGCGTTACTTTGTAACGATATTGTGTGTGACTCATCAATGCAACTTCACAATACTGATTAGTAAAGGTTAGTTCTTACTGTAGTATCTCACAAACGCTAAGTGAGCCCTTCTTCCTGTAAGTGTGTCTGTTGTCTGACGCAGCTGAGGGAGGAGGCATGTAGAAATAGTGGGCGGGAAAGATTCGTCTTAAAGGCGCAGTACGACAAAACCACCCCCTGCTGGAAATCAGTATAAAACAGCATCTTGTAAAAGGTATAATGAAAAATCTGATGGGTATTTTGATCTGAAACTT